CAGATCAGAGAAGTAAATCCGAAAACAGGGAATTTTATTGGGCCTCTGAAATGCAATCACATCCATATTCACATTCAAGAATATGGCTTTTACTGTAGGCCTAAATAAACTTTTTATAGGTAAACTGGGGTACTTTTGAACTGAAACACAGAGACAGCGACAGTGATTTGAGAAGAAATTGTGAAAACAGATAAGGTTAGAGCGAGAAATGCCAGAGTGTAGTAAAAAAAAAAAAAGAAGAAGCAGGAAAGCTTGTACATATTGCATGTTTCCGTTTGGTTCCATCTCCCAGGGCCACTGTGGCTGCTTCCTGATGTGGTTTTCATTATTTATCCAGCATCTATTGGACAATATTGGAGCTGACTCTCAGCTCTGCTGCCATATTGGCAGCAGGACAACGGAGCAACAACAACGGAAGTGAAAAGGAAGAAGCTGCAGTGTTACTGCACATTCAGTCTGGACTGAATCTCTGTTTGCACAGTTAGACATTCATGAGAACATTGGATTCATCAAAGTCTGGTGCTGTCATTTGGCAAGGCTCAACACTACCTGTGTGTAACCATTCTGAGAACACACCTTCTTGTTTATTTAGCTGTTGTTTGATTGTTGACAATGAAATTAAGTTAAATTGCACAAAGAGCAGCAATTCGCCTGAGCAGCACAGCACATACAATGTATCAAATGTCATCAATTTCCTTTCTGCCACGGAAGACACACAATATGGGATGTACATGAGATTACTCACCTGCCAAAACCAAACAATAGCTAATGTATCTCCGGTTCAAATTACATTTACCATAGGGTGTCATCTCTAAGCTGTTTAATGCATTGTGGGACGAAGGGCTTTAATCAGCAAGGCTCAGTGGAGCCAGCGGATTAAATCACTTTTTATCTGCGCTTCCTTTGACTTTCCCAGAGCTCAGGGTTGCAGTGTAAATCATAATGCGTCCCTGTTGGGCTCACTTCAGTATGGTTTATTGCTGTAGTAACATTTCATAAATTCCATTTATTTTGTGTACTGAGTAAATCCACATCCACTGAAAAACAAGGATAACTCTTTATTCTCATCTCCAACTACAATTTCTCAAGAAGGAGTTTATGTTGTCTACATGAGTGTATAAGTTCATCTACTTGGGTGTGTGTAGCCTATGTACTTTTAGATACATGTACAGTATGTGGATGTGGACTGTTGCATGCAACATAGGTGAAAACACACATGCATATTTTGGCATCTATGTACTTTATCTGCGTACATGTGTGGAGCATGTGAATGACTTTGTATCTGTGTGCTGGTTATGCACACTCACAGCCGACAACAGCGACAGGGAGATCGGCTGCCGCATTGCACAGAATAGCTAAACAGCTGTAGTGCTCCATCAGGGCTATCGATCATGTCCCTCTCTCTGAATCACAATCAGACGTGGGCAGAGCAGAGCGGCTGGAGCAGGGCTCGGTGACTGGCTTGTTGGACGAAAGCTACGCACCTCTCATATCAACCATGGCTCACCAAACAAACCTGACCTGGATAGCAGATTATATGCATCTATATGCGAGTGCTGTTGTACTTGTTTCTGTAGAACTTCTAAATGCAAGTTCCTGGCAAGCATCTCCTTTTTTCCCCCAGTGGTGTGTTTTATTGCTTATAAAGAATATATCAGTGTCTATCATGTTTAATGCACTTGTTACTTATGTTACAGTTATACAGGATGTCTAATCACAACACGTATTTACACCTCATGTACTGCACATGCCACCCCAGTAGCATTAAACCATATATTGTATCTAAATAACACATGTAACCACAAGAAAATTAGACATGCTTTCATTAAAACCTTAATAGTAAGAAAAGGGAAGATGTGTAAGTATCATTTGCTGCCATCTGCTATCATGTCCCCACACTGTATATTAATTCAACATCTCATGTAATCACAAGGAAGTTAGATGTTATTACATTAAAATTTAAACAGGAAGTGTATGGAAGCTGTCTATGGCGCCATTAACTGCCATCTGTTAGCATCTCCACAATCTTCTGTTCTGGATGTTCCTCCTCTCTGTGTCATTGTGTTATCTGCAACTCAGTGTTAACTTCCTGTAAATATGGTGACTTCCTTTCCATTTATTTCCCCTTGGTCAGTTGAATTTAACAGATGACTTGGCACCTGACATCCACATATTTACTTCCTGATATGGGACAGCAAGGTTACAACTCAATATCCTTTTGTACTGCCACTGGACACACCTGAGTAGAGGAGGGCAGCTGTAACAAAACCAACCCCCATCACACACACACACACACACACATTCATACACACACATCTCTTGACGCAGTGTGATTGAGTGGCTAAGCTGGAAATGCAAAGGCTTGTCAGATATGGGCTTGAGAGGATTGGTGACCAAGCTTGGTACACTAGGAAAATAATGTGCATGTGTATGCGCATGCAAGCATGTTGAGAGTGTTGCAGAGTATGTGTGTAGGTGTGTGTGTTACCGCAGCTACTTTGTGTGTGTTTGTGGGCTGTGTTTCAAATGCTAAATGCTGGAAAAAAAAGAATTTCATTAGCATTATTAGGATGTTGACATTCCACTCAGGTCAAAGTTAGTGGCGCATGACTATATTTGTGCTTATGTGGTTTGTGCGTGTGTGTGTATGTCAAAGCTCACACTGTGTAGTAGTCATAGCTGTCACACAAGCATACCCATGCACGTGCACACACACAACACACACACACACACACACACATTCCTGTGTGTGGCAAGGGCCCCCCGGGGGGTGCCGCTGAGCTGTCAAAGCAGGATGGATGAAGAAGCTGCCCTGCATAGCAAGGGGCTCTGGGGAAATACCACCAACATGACACACACACACACACACACACACACACACACACTGACACAGACTCTGTCAGCACACAAATACAGTATGTATGTGTTCCCGCTTTAAAAAGCATAAATTTGAATATGCACGCAGGAATCGGAACACAGAAACAAATACAAATGTAGTGAAAATACATAGCTTGCTAACTTGTATGTACACACACACACACACACACACACACACACACACACACAACACACACATATATACAAAGGGCTTTTTGCTGTCTGTGTGAGAAACAGAAACAGCCCTGGGGTCCTCCACATAGGAACATCTGAGTTTGATAACAGAGGAATGCCCAGAGATCTCCATTTACCAGACAGCAAGTCAACATGGACGCTCTCAGAAAGCAGAAAAAAGCACACTTCCTCAACCCCCATGCTTTTTTATAAATTATAACTATGGCAAAAGTATCAAATAAATGACAGCATGAGCCTTTATCCATCAGTATTCACGAATAGAATAATAATAACTATTTTTTATTACAATTTGTGTGATTTTTTTCTTATAATTCCTATCAGTACTAACATTGTAGTCACATGAAAATTCTATATTTGGGGGTACTCTCTGTTGGTTTAGTGCCAAATAAAGTGGTTTAGATTTTGATAACAAAGTCAGTAGATTACTCAGCAATTACTTTGGTGAGTACAATGCCATCATAAGTCATAGAAATGGTGGCCAAAATTACACAAATAAGACCCAAGTTGTAATAAACCATGGAATTGATTATGCATTACCTCATATGGAAATAGCATAAGGAACATTAATAGCTTTTGCATCAGCTAGTCATGTTTACACACAAGAATACATTAACAGAAAGGGGAGATTTCATGGACCCTTTAGGAGGGACCATGGTAGCACCAGACCAGAGCAAACCTTGTAAACTTAACCATTCTTAATTCCACAGAAGGATTTCCTCGATCAGGGCAGTAAATCTCCATGCTTGGCACAAGCCTGAACAATCCATTAACAATAATAAAGCCTGAGCGGCCGGGAGATAGACCCTTAAAGGGGAAGGTCAGCCTGATATTACAGCTTTAAAGGTTTCCTATTACGGCTCAACTTCAATATAACCACTCACCTTGCCTTTAATGGCTGCTGGCTATGCAGTGGCTGAGCATATATGGAGATTCTAAATCCAGTCTCTCTGAGATATTACTGGATAGTGGAGAGCAATTTATGGTTCTTTTTCTGTGCCGCTGGTTGGAGGTGTGAGTATTGTTAATAAAATTGCCACAGGGGTGAAGGAGATCTCCTCGGTATCGCCCTGTCTGGCCCCCACGCCCTGCTGGGACGCACGGGAGGCTTCGAGCAGTGCAGCACCTGGCCCCAAAAGTGCTTAAGCAGCAGATTCTTTTTTTCATCCTGGCCTTTCCCTCTGACTCTTTCTTTCATATCTTTACTCTCCTTCCACCTCGCTCTCCTTTTTGCAACCCATACTCCCAAAGAGACATGCTCTGTTTCCAACATTACCATTGCTTTGACTCCTTTTGTTTCAAACTTTTGGAGCACAAATGTCACTTTGGACACCAAACTAACTTCTGTGCTAACACACAATGTGGTACACTCTTGTCTCTACATCTGTCTCCATTTGGTGACATTCTTTCTTTCAGCCTCTTTTCCCTGCCTGTTTTCTCCTTGGCCAGCTTGTTCCACTGTCTAGGGTGACTGCAGAAAAGAGAGAAGAGAGAGGACACGGCAACAGAGAGCAGGAGCAGGAGAGGAAAGAGGGGAGAGTGCAAGCTCTTAAGTAGATTGCAAAGAACAGCACAGAGGCATGAGTGTGAATATTAAGAGGGTTTTCTCCTGCCCGAGAAGTTCCAGCTTGCAGCAGCAGCACCACCAGGGAGGGAGAGACACGGTGACAGAAAGAGAGAGAGAGAGAGAAAGATGGGGGGTGAGGAAGAGACCCACAGAACCGTCAGCTATTCAGCCATAGCCACGACAGCTAACTTCAGGTGTCAGAAACAATGGTGTACACAATCTATCAAGCTGTCCGGCAGATCTCTGAGAAATTAACATAATTGAATTAGAAAGGAAGTTTCTCATTTCAAAGGTGATGATTTTTCAAGAAAGAAAGGAAAGGGGTGATGCGAGGGTAATGTAAAGCAAAGGAGGAGAAACTCACCTGGAATGCCTGGTGGGGTTTTCAGGTATTTTCCATTGAAATGCTGTATCACTACTTCACATTTCTCTGTGGACTCCATCCTGCAACAAAAAGTGATACATAGGGTTCGATTAAAAAAATATTCACTTGTCATTTGTAGCAAAGTTTGAAACTTCTGTAGCAATTGGAAATAAAAACATTGAATTATGACACAAACAGACAGCGCTTATAAATATACTAAATATACTAAATTACTATATGGTTAATATGGCTGTTACTTTATAGTACCAAACAGAATGGCATGCCATTTTTAACCATCACAAACAGGTAACAACTCTGGCATGAGATACAGTTTACAACTCCAGACCAAGGTAGCACTTGTAAACAAAAATATATCAGAGAAAGCACAGCTGCAGTCGTTTTCATTATCTTTTAAACAACTCAAGATAGCTTGTTCCTGTTTAGCACTGGAACCCTTCACACATAAAACTCCAATGAGACAATCCACAGTCTGTCTGTCTATCTGCTTGGGAATGTCATTGTCTGCATGAGTCAGAAATGCATAATGAAATTCAGGGTTTTTGTAGGGAAAGACTTTTTATGCAGCCTTTCTCCCTGCCTCGTAGAAAAGACAGAGTAGAGAAAGACAGAAAGAAGAGGCAAAATAGATGCAGGGATATAGAAAAAAGTAGAAGAAGAGAGATAAGAAAGTATGAGAAGGTAAAGATGACATGCCTATGAATCGTAAAGACTTTGATTTCCAGAGTGGGGAAGCGAGAGAAGACAGGAAACTGACAGACTCGTCTCCCTCTTTCCAGCCACTGGATCAAACATCTATGGGTCGAGCAGATGACCAGCAGGAGGCCTCTGATCTCTCACATCAATAGCACTAATGCCCATTCAGTATACCCATCACATCAAACATGTACAGAAGTATATCAAATACATAAAAATGCACAAATGTATTGCATTTTGGCATATCTTTTATCCTTGTGCTGTGGTGGGAGGAAAGCAGCATACCTGTGAGACAATTTGAGCAAATTACACTCTATCTTCCAGCTTGAATCAAACTACTAATCCTTAACTCTATACAACACACACAAATAATATCTGCCCCATTCTATTAACTTAAGTTTTTTTCTAGCCCTGACAAATTGTGAATCATGTACACCGATGCAGGTGCTACATAAATAGTCCACAGATCATCAAAGTTTTTCCAATTTATTCTGAAAGGAACATTAATTAAAATCAATTAAATTCTATTTGTATAGCCCCAACTCATAACAAAAGTAAAACTAGACCGTACTCCTTATACAATTATCGACAGAGACCCAACAGTTCCCACCATGAACAAGCATTCGGTGACAGTGGCAAGGAAAAACAAAGGCAGAAATGTCGAGCAGAGGTTGAGACGTTTCACTGAAAACTAGGTGTGTGAACTTCATAGTGGCACTAGAAAACAAGTTAGGGGATCAGTCATTAGAATTCATCCTCTGTGGAACATTAATATCTTTTCTGCAAACTAATCCAGTAGATATTTAGACATTTCACTGTATAAGTTAAAAGTTTGACAAACTGGTGGCCAAAATCTCAACCTGCTGGTAGCACTAAAGGAAAAGTCGGTAGGATTCATCCTGTGGGACCATGAACATATAATATTTAAGTCTGGACCAAAGTGGTGGTCCTACAGCCACTGACCGACTAACATTGTCGTTATTAGAACTGTGCCTCTGTGGCTAAAAACATAAATCACAGCGCAACCAGTCAAGGAGTATGATTTGTTTTCCTCTGTGCAAATGGAAATGTCTATATATCAAACATAACCACGTTAAGTTACAGAAACATAAAAAACACATAGCTATAGTTACTATGCAGTTTCTTTAATATATACTCACAGAGGACTCATATTACAATGAGACCGTTTTTAAATGCAGGTCTGAGTGATTGCTATGCCTATGGTAATATCCTCTTGGAATGTGAAGAATCCATTGCTTTCCAGATTTTCATGCTTTATTCGCTCTCACCTCCAAGAATACTCATATCATCCTGTCAGCCTCTCACTTCTCTGTCCTCCGTCTCTCATCCATCCCCTATCTCTACCTTTATCCTTCTTTTTTTTACCATAGCTTCTTTATCGCTCTCTCTGTCCCATCCATCTTACTCCCGGCCCGTCTGCACCTCTTCTTTTTGACGTCTCTCTCATTCCTCCCCATCTTTCAACCTTGGTTATTTCCTCCATCTTTCAGTGTTACCCTCACTCTCTCCCGCCCCATCTCTCTCACTTTCCATGCCCTCCTTTTCTTCCCTCTCTGTCCATCCTTTTGTTTCTCTGTTATGCCCTATCCACATCAACATCTTTCTCCGTTTTCCTATCCCTGCTTCTCTGTTTAGAATATATAATCTTTCAAACTCTCCTTCTTTTCCCTATTTCTTCCCTGTGTTTGAGCAGACTGATACTCGCCAGCCAGTGTGACTTGGCTGATCTCTATTCACCGGCCATCAGCATCACTCAGCAACTAGAAATCATCAAAGCACTGTCATTCATTCAGCTGATCGAAAGAGTATGCATTTTATGATTTTATTCATTATATGATATACTGTATATACATTTTATTTAATTAGTCAACAAAATAAACCAGACTTCACAATTTTAAATGTCTTTACGCAAGCAGCCATTGCGCCTAAATAAAATTGGTAGAATTAAGATTTAAATCAGTGACTGTTTGATCAAAGAATAAGAAAGGAAAGTAAAAAAATACACTGAATCCTCCTATGGTAGCTTTCAGTACCTGACAGTATTTAATATTGATATCCAGCTCTAAATTATATACAATATTTTTTTTCCCAAAAGTCCTTTTACAAACTGTTCAAAGTATCATGATTTGGAATCATTTTTTGATTAAAGCATTCGAATGAATGCTTCATTGGATTTAAGTGAATATACAGTGCATTTATGTGAACATATTGTGGATGTATGTAAGCACACATTCATAATACGCTTTTAATCCATGTTTACACACAGCTGCAATAAACATGCCAATAACCCCTCCACAATGCTTTCACTTTAGGAGGCAGCCCAGTGACACAGAGAGAATCTGCATGAAGCACAGCTAACCTTTTTATTGCTTTTTCTCTCTCCCATTAAAGCCTAACAACGCTGAACGTAGTGCACACTCAACTTAGAGCTTGTGAAATAATGATCTATGTGGTTGTGTACTGCATTATGAAAGCGAAAGCTGTTTTGATATTATTTGTTTTTGCTGTCCATTTTAAAAGGGGCTGAAAATCAGGTTGAATGCATCACACTTCTCCAGAGTTTCAACCGATTCTCTGACTGGAAGTGTTGATGCTTCGCTTCCCGCCCTATTCCCCATAGCGCTCTTTATCCATCCTCCTCACACCCCCTCTGGCTATTCATTGTTTGCCTCCTTCTCAACGCCATCTCTCCTTGACTCTTTCCAGCAGGTAGGTAGACAGAAAACAGGTGGTTAGACAAGGAGTAAATAATGCAGACAGGCTGTTAGGCAGTCATAGGGAAACGAGCCCGTCAGCTAGACTGTCTGTTGGTCAGTCATGCTTTTGGGGTAGCCAGTCAGTCAAAGAGCTGGCCAGGTAGGTGGTGAGGCAGGCTGGATTTTCTGTGTGTGCTGCTGGTTAATGGCATCAGGTGCTGCTGTCTGCAATGATTAGTGCTGGGGCTGGAGTAATGGGCTCTGATAACAGTAATGGATCGGCCCACAAACACTTAGCTCAGTTTACTCTCTCTAATGCCCCTCATGGCCCAACCCTCAGCAGCTGTCTGTCTGTCTGTCTGTCTGTCTGTCTGTCTGTTGACACAGCTAACTGGAGCTCTACAATTCATAAAATACATAGATTTATTTTTTCTCCATGGTCTGAATCTCTGTCTGGCTACTTTTTCTGACCTGTATTTATCAGTTATCACCATTCTCTTTTATTTATTGATCTGTACAAGTAATAAAACCGTCCATGCCTCTCTTAAGTTTTTCTTTTTCGCCCTTATCTAACCAAAACACCAGTCATTCACTTTTCACATTTTATTCCAGACACCCACACTCACTCTCTTCACTTTCTATTCCTCAATCTTTCTCCATCTCATACTGCCTTCTCCTTCCCATCACCTTCTCTTTCTCTTTATAATAACCTCTATGATTAGTTCTTTATACCTGGTCATTGTTTCACACTCCTGTCCCTTTCTCTCCTGCCGTCTCACTCTCCCTTTCCATCATGTCTCTTCCTCCTCCCACTGAGGGCTGCTTGAACAGGTGGCTTGTGGCAGGTTGTTGCTGTGCTCTGCTTGTTGGCCTGCAGGAGGCTGCCTACCTGTCTGTGTGCGTACGTGCGAGAGTTTGCTTACGTGTTATGTGTGTGTGGGTGCACACGTCCATGCTTGTCTTCTTATGCACAGGTGTGTAGGCATGTGTAGACGCCTGTCTGTGCATATGCTCACGTTTGTGCATAAGTGCCTGTTTATGTGTGTGTGTGTGTGTGTTTGTGCTTGTCTGTCCTGCTGTAACCCTCAGTAATAGAGCAGGGAATAGGAGAGGAGTTCAGCCAGAGCAGGTGATTAAGAAAAATCCCTGCAAGATGGCGGTTCTGTGGCCGTCAGTGGCCTCCTCTGGGTAAACAAGGGAGGAATGTGTGGAGAGGAATGAGAGCCTGGTGGCTGCTGCCGAGGACAAGGACAGAGCGGTTTATGACTTTGGGGGATTAACAAGCTGAAGTGGAAACTTTTATAAGTAGAAAAAGAAATAAACTGTTCAGTGGTAGGCTTGGTGGTGGAAATATAGCAGGCCTGGTTATACTAGGAGGAAAAGGGGGTAATTAATGGTATCCACGGATGTACAGGCACGTGTGCATACAAGTTTCCACTGCCCCTAGGTGAGATTACAAGTGTCTTTTTAGCGTGAATGTGTGTATGCATATAGTAAGTACGTACATGAATCCATCTGTGTGTGCTTGATCATGTATGCACTTCAGTCTGTGCATTTGTAAAAGTGTTTGTGGGTGAAATCCATATGCAAATGATTCTGTGTTACTGCTGCAGCATCCATGAAATACCAGAAGGATAGAGACACAAAACTTGTGTGAGATCACATGTGCTGAAAATCCATTGTTTAAAAATGAATTATTGTTTTCATAGTATAAGTAGGAGTAACTGCCTCCACGTCACATTAGCATCATTATTACTGTTTACCTGGCGAAGCCGACTCCTCTGCTAACCCCGTTGGCATCCCTCAATATCCTCGTGGAGATGACGTGACCCAGGGGCTTCAGCATGTTCTCCAGCTCCTGCTCATCCATAGACACTGGCAGGTTGGAGATGTACAGGTTGGTGGGGTCCTGCTCCTGTTGCTGCAGGGCCAGGAGGATAGAACAGCAGGTAGGACAGGGGGAGGGGTGGTGAAAACGGAAGAGGAAAAGATGAGAAATAATAATATATCACCAACAATCGTAGGAATTGTGAAATATACATCAGCTTTGTGTCATGAGCCATAACATAACACGTCTCAATGCTACCAACAGCAAAATCGAACTCTGGCTGAACTCACATAACGTTTGGCCTTATGACACACACACACACACACACACACACACACACACACACACACACACACACACACACACACACACACACACACACACACACACACACACACACACACATTCATATGCTCACATGCAACATGGACACATCAATAGGTCACTGGGCCTCAGGCTCTATGTGTGACACAGTGAGGGTGTCGGACACATTTTGGATTTGGTGAGTGGAAAGTATTACGACAGTGCAAGTCTGTATAAACATCTTGCATTCTGTACATATTTACATTCATTTGTATAAAGGATTCTGGGTGTGTTAAGTTTAAAGATGAAAAGAAAGAGAGACAGAAACAGAAAACAGTGAGAAGTTGTGTCGTGTGTATCGTACAGCATTTCTTTCGTAGTGCCCAGAGGCTGCTGCTTGCTAGGTGAAGCTGCACAGCTGGTGGTGGGATGAGCCTGAGAAAGCAGAGGGCCCTGTGAGCTCTACAGTAGAACAGCTGGAAACAGCAGCCCAACCCCACCAGTCAATCAGTCACTGAGCCAGACAGCCACCATATAAGTCAGCTATCCATCCATCTATGCTACAAGTCAGTCAGTCTCTAAATTAAGCATGAAACTACATTATGTCATCCTTATCTTTAATTAGGTATCTTTATGATTCTGTATGCATGTTAGCATATTCTTTTCTAATGTATCAAATTACATTCAATCCATCCTCCCACCCAGGTACTAAGGAAACTATCCAATCAGGCAGTCAGCCAGATTCTGATCTGTTTGCAGCTTGCATTTATCACATCTCCTCTTCATCTACTCCAACATCAACATGTCCAAACCATTCATCCAACAGCAGCCAGGACCACCTTGGGTTACAAAAGCTAACAAAAACAAAAGCAATATTACAAAAAGGCATCTATGCTGTGATTAGTAGCCAGCGTAATGTGATGAGTGAATGAGATTTACATCCACTCCAGCTCGCAGTAAACAACAGTAGCATCTGCAGTGGGTGTCTCCTGGCACCCACAGTGGAAGATGTTACCTTGTTGAAAACACCAAAGATGAATCTTGTACCATCTATTTCAAATTTGGGGACAATTTATTTTTGAATGTATACAACTGAAAATTTTAAATAGATATGGATCTTTTGGATCATTGTGAATGGATCTTTTGTTGCTGCCATTGTAAACTCCACTTTAAATGTATGTATTTAATGCAATGAACTAAAAATGTCCTTCTCATACTTAATAACAGCCTCTCTTATGAGAAAGCTACATTATAACCTAGTTTCAAGGAGCATCACAATGTAAAAATACCATAATCTTTGTGATGGTTGGGATCTATCATTTACTAATAAGGAAGATTACTATATGTATCCTGAATAGCAACAGCAATTAAGAAAGACATCTATAAAAATGTATGAAATGATTTAAATGCTACAAAAAAGGTTAGTTCCATTAATTCAGGAGAGGCTAAGCTGGATCTGCCAAGTCTAAACCTTAAGAACTGGCAACAAGACAAGAGAAGAAGAGAAGCAAGGACAAGTAGAACAACTAACTAGCTTCTGCCCAAAGACAGTTAAGACAATACTATGTGCACATAACAAAACATTTGCATAATACATTTTTCATATATACATATGAAAACAGTTTTCTTTCCTAAACCATACGGAGCCTTGTCATCTGACAATTGCACTACTTTACTTTGAATTAAGTTGATTTGGCGTCAAATAAATGCCTCAAAAAGATGAGAAACCTGAATTTTCAGGGATCTACTTCACACGCATATATGCAGTACTGTAAACACTTCAGTACAGAAGTCTGTCTTCTTCTCAGTCGGGGGTTGTGGCGATACTTCAGTTGCAGCCTGCATGTAAACACTGTCTTTGAGAATCTTTACAGACTCTCTGTGCTTTGCCACAGGCAACACTGTCTCACTCCTTCTTGTTTTACTTTCTGTCGATGGCAGAGGAAGAGGTAAAGGAGGAGGAGAGGAAGTGCCTCCACCAGAGTCCTGCCTCCATCTCTCCATCTGTCAGAGGAGAAGACTGGTCCCTCCCCTGATTAATTAGCTGTCTTATCTGACAGGACATGTTTGATCTGATTAAAGCCACTGGGAGAAAGCCGGTGTCCGTCGTGAAAGCAGGAAAAACGCAGCTCTTTCTCCTTTAGCCAGGAACTCAATTACCTAACTGCAGGTTTGTCACATTTATGTGCTTCAGAGTGAGCGAGAAAGGGCTCACAAGCGTTTGTATAACATAAGATTTGGCAGTGAATGAGGCTTAATTAAATCTGCCCATAAAAATCGACTGTACACGTGTCACTCTCCTGCTAAGTCCCTTTGGTGTGTGTAGCCGTGCAGCTGTGCTTTCCTTTGAGTTTCACTGGTTATGTGAGGCGATGTTTTTCAGGATTATGTCAAATAGGCTTCGTATTCCAATGCACACAGGAGGTCTGGATCAAAGAGTTAAACTGACTGACTCACTGGCTGGGCTAAGCCAATGGTACGAGAGTGTGGGTGTGTGTGTGTGTGTGTGTGTGTGTGTGCATGCTTTTGAATGACTTTCTTGTGCAGCATGTGACAGTACACGCAGAGAAAGAGTGTGATAGAATGTGAAGCAGTAAGTTGTGTGCGTGGGCTAATAGTAGAGGGCTACGTTTGCTGGGGGATTATCATGGGGAGGCCTCGTCTACGCACGGCCGCCTCGCAAAGTTTCCTCTTTGATGACGTTCCGCACCACAAAGCCCTAAATACCCAGATGAGAAGGTTACGGGGACGAGTGGAAATGGGAGCATTTTGACGGGAGGTGAGATGGGCTGGCCCATTCCACAAGGAGATTTAATTTCCTTTAATGTCAGCCTTCACACACGCTCTGCTGTCAGGCTATGAATGAAACGGTAATTGAGGTGTGTGTGCGTGTGTGTACCTGTGCATATATCCTATCACTAGCAATTATGTGTGTGTGTTTGTTCCATCGAACATATACTGTAATGCTGTAATACGTATCTTTTTTCCCAAAGTGCCTGCTTCTTGTGTGTGCAATGGCAGTTGTGTCTGTCCCCTCACCATTGACCAGTGTTGTAGAAGGCTAATGGAAAGGCTTCAGGCTGCGCTGGGCCTTTGATGAGCATAATTCCCTCACCTTGCCATGAGGAGGACAGGAGGAACCCAACTGTGTGTGCACAGGAGGGGGGAGGCAGCCAACGTGTCATTTCCCGCTGACGGATGGCCCCCTCGCTAGAGCTGACAGCCCTGTAGCTGTTATTTCATTTCGACACCCTGCTCTGTTTACCTCACTGTAATTTCTGAGAACATTACCATGCTACGGGGGGGGTATTAGTAGAAAGAAGAAAAGGAGGCGGAGATCTGGGTTAAACAAAAAACAAAAGAGAAAATAGGAGTATAGATCATGGAGCAAAAGGTGAAAGAGTGAAAAGGCAAAGAAGAGAAAGCTGGAGAGAAAGACAGAGATGGAGACAGCTGACATGACAGGCAGATATAACACATTAAAGGAAGCCCTTGTTGTCTTTTGACAACGCTTGGGGGAAAAGAGACGTCAGCCGTTAGAAGTCTCACGTTCCGCCTATGGGGTTCTCAGGGCTGTATCCATTTAACTGATAAAAGTTAGACAGATAGATATATGTCTTGACTGGGGGCGCTGCATCTAACGTTATGTTGAGGCTCGGAGCTGCCCTCATTCTCTTGTCAACACTCTTTCTTTTTTCAAACTATATCTCCCAGATTCCTTCACCCCATTCTGTCTTTCTTCTTCTCCCCTTTCATACCACTGACCACTCCATAGCCTATCTTTCTCCAACTATTCTTTTTGTCAACTCTTTTCATTTTTCACTGACTTCAGCACCCTCTCTGTTCATTCCTCCTACTACTTCCCTTACGTTTTCCATCAATCCATTCCTGTTTGTCCTTCCTCCCCCCCCACCGCTATTGTCATCTCCCATCTTGTCCCTCCTTTATCCTTTATTCTTTCTCCTCTCTTTTCCCTCTCTATCCATTCGGCTTGCTCAAGAGATTAGAGCTGTATGTGTAATTGGCTCTGCAGGGCTTCTCAGCTGCTCCTCTAAGCACCGGTACACACTCTATGAGGGCGTGTGTGCATGTGTATGAGTGTGTAAGCCAATCCTTGGTTTGACAATACACTATTCGCTTCCCTTAGGCATGCCACTCTGGCCTGTTGTGTGACTAACCAGCAGCCTGAAGGAGCACAATTAAAGCAAAAGACAATGGGGTTCCGTGTATTCTGGTTCGAGAAAACTGCAAGGAAACAGTAGTTGTTGTGTTGCTGCTGCTGTGAGGATGTGTTGCTGACAAGTTTGCAGATGCCAGAGGGAGCGTTCCTGCGCTCTCATATATAGGTGTAGGATCTGCACACAGATCTTGCTGTGGGAGCCTGAGTCTGCACAACGCAAGTGGAAGGATGGAGTAAGGGGAAGTTGGGAGTTGGAGAAGCATATGAGCACATCAGCTCACTTCAAAAGCTTGAGTTTAATTTGTGAGGAGCCAGAAAATTCAGAGACAAAAAGGTAGCACTACAAAGGAGCTATCATTCTGTCAGCTGGCTAGTCAACTGGTCAGACAACAGCAGGTGAAGTCAGGCGGGCAGCTTACCGCCCTTTGATGAGCGCTTCCCAACATTTTCTTTTGCCACTGATGAGTGGATGGCAGGATCACTCTACTTTTCCCTTTGTAGAGGCAGTTGTCAAGCGCTTCCTCAACACTCTGCCATTCTGTCTCTTATCAAGCACCTCTGTGACACTCGACTTCAAACCCCATCCACATCCAAGACTTTACATTACACT